TATCCTTCTAAACTTGTAAATTTAGTCATTGACCTTTCTTTTGATATGCTGCCGTTCATCACCTTTGTTATCTCTTACAAATTCCGTTAAATGATGACATAAATGATAATGTGGCATGTTGGCATGACATTTAATGAAACAAAATTACAGGTTAGCTCAAAAAAATAAAAGTCAATAAGTGACAAGAAAAAAAATATATATTTGTAGCATTAATTAGAATATTTTAATTTTTGAGAATATGATGATCACATGGAGTGAAGAATCAAACTACTTAAAAGATTAGTTACGAAAAGAAAGAGAGTGAAGTGGTCAAAATTAAATATAAAAAACAAATATACAAATAAATTTATTATTAAATTTATGCAGTCAAATTGATTCTAATATTTTTTAATAAGTGGACGTACCCTTATACCTTCTTAATATATTTTTTAAAAATAATTAAAATAGGCAAAAGGTGTAGATTCCCCCTAAAATTGTTGTGTTAAAAAGCAAATTATCATGTTAAAAAGAAAATTGTCATGAAAAAAAATGTTGACGTAATTTACACATCAAATTTTCATTTTTAAGAAATCAACTTAAATTTAACTATTATTATTAACTTTCTGTTAAATTTTAAGAACAACATTTTAACGAAATTTAATGGCAACCATTAAATTTATATTGATTTTTTGAAAATGAAAATTTTAGGTGGCAAAATTATGTTAACGTTTTTTTTATGATAATTTACTACAACACAACAATTTTGACAAGTAATTTACATAATAAACCATTAAAATATATGGAAAATTAAAGAAAGATTTTTGAATTGGTATGTTACTATTTTGTTGTACGGCATTTGAAAATTGATTGATTTGTTAATTTTTAAGGATATTAGTATTATATAGTGTTTCTAATTGATTTTTTTTTGCCATCTATTAATTTTTTTTAGCAAGATTGTAATTTTGTTTCACTTATGATCACATCATCACCCATCTCATCACTTAATAGAATTATTAAGAGATAAAGTAGGGTGATGAATGGGGCAGCATGTTAAAAGAAAGGTTAGTGACCATCTACTCAAATTTAGTAGGACGTACAGTGACTAAGTTGAAAGTTATGATAAAGGTGAGTGACTATTAGTGTAGGTTACCCAAATAAACGGCAGAGAATCTTCTATTTGGGAAACCCTATTATTTGCGTCCCAGCTAACCCTATTATTTGCGTCCCACCTTCTACAACTGTCGCTCTTATAATTTGGGAATTTAGCATTAATTAGAATATTTTAATTTTTGAGAACTTCATGATCACATGGAGTTAAGAATCAACTACTTAAAAGATTAGTTATGAAAAGAAAGAGAGTGAAGTGGTCAAAATTAAATATAGAAAACAAATATATAAATAAATTTACTATTAAATTTATGCAGTCAAATTGATTCTAATATTTTTTAATAAGTGGAGGTACCCTTATACCTTCTCAATATGTTTTTTTAAAAATAATTACAATAGGCAAAAGTTGTAGATTCCCCCCTAAAATTGTTGTGTTAGAAAGCAAATTGTCATGAAAAAAAATATTGACG